AGCTTAATCAGATTCTCGCAAACATTCACTTTTTCGCACAACACCGGTATAAACGGCGGACCACTACAGCCCCGCAACGGTCTGCAAGTCCAATTACACGTCAAAGGGGCGTACGTTTAAATGAAAGCTCATTTTGTCCAGTTTTGCTGATTCTTTCCAAAATCAACCCATGCAGTACGACAGACTACAGTTAAGCTCCAGAAACCCTAAATTATTGCTATTTAATTTTATGACGAATAAGTCATAGGGTAAACCTGGGTTAATTATGCAAACAGGAAGTATTTTTTTCCTTTTCAACTCAAACATGTACGTTATTGTAACTACATTCATGCTCATTTTGACTTGAAATTCTGCATAAGACAACAACTTTATAAGTATTTTCCGTTTGAATCCAATTTTCTTTTCACACCTCCACAGCCAGCAAGTTACATCACAACTCTCTTCTGCCCTCTGCTGCTATCAGTGTATACATGCAGGAGAGAAACAGATCAGATTTGCCAACTTCTTTTACGTTGTAAAAATGATGACTGATGACGTGTTGCATTTTTTTCTGGCTGAACATAAAATGAATCACAAGTCATCTTCTTAACAAACACATCCCTATTCACAGAAACGCATGGTTCCTCCCATACAAGCAGCCACCTGAATATTAAACAAAAGTTTTTTAGTGCTTTTGTGATATTAAGGCTGAGTTTGGCCAGACATAATGGCCTGTCTCATTATCTGGGGTAATGCTGGCTATTCTTACAATGGATTACTGCTGCTGGAACAGAGCTGTGTCACCTTGCACTGATCGCACAAATGAAGTCAGCATCTGGCATAACAACCAATTCACGCTGCTTGGCACGATTCATTTTTCCCTCAGAGGAAAAGCACAATCCCTTTGTAGTGCGTGGATGAAATAAAATGCAGCCGAGCTCCATCTGCAGCTTTTCAAAACTTTACGATAATGTTAATAGCATATAATGACACCTTTATTACTGTGCCTTTTTGATTTGAGGATTCCTAAATCTGTATTATGCCCCTTGGAAGAAAATTCTTGCCTTCAGTCTTCACATGGAAAAAAAAAGGCAGCAAAAAAAACAAACATAAAAAACAAAAAAAAATCAACAGTTCAGTAAAAGATTAGTCATTTATTATTCTGTTTATATATCGCTCTATAACAGATCAGCAGTTCCACGTTTGGCACTTAACTCTCTAAACACTATGTGTGAGGATCTGCTATTAGCGCACAAAAACATTCATGACCGATGTTTGGACTTTCTAACCCTGTTAAGGCTACACAGCGAGGTCTCTCATTAAGACTATTTCTACAGATATGACAACAGTTGAAAATGAAAACAGTAATCATTAGCAAATATATTAAAGATTATCTGTGCAAATACCTCAATTTGAGATGTTTAGGACATGAATCTAACACGTTACACACCTTCTAGTTCAAGAAAGCATTGCATAATTAAAACAGTGATTTAAAAAAGACAAATGATTACAAGAATATTGTTTGACATCAGCTATTATTGTAATTTGCTCTACAATCATGAATTGTCTGAAATAAGATGAAGATAAATCAGCTGGGGTGAAACGAAACCATCTAATAATTGCATAAGATATTCAACATTTTGAGGGAGCTACGATACATATCTCAGCTGTTAGAATGAATCTGATCTAAGTGTATGAGGTTTTAGCGCTCATTAAGGTGATAAAACATCCAAGTGCACAATGCATGCATTTGTAATGTTTTATCGAAATCTTTTCGGTCTGACAAACCGTGTCGTATTTTCAGTAAAAACGATATACTGGTGTGCTCGTGATGCTCTGGGAGCAACTTAAGCTGTAACTGGTCATGCACACGTCACTGGAGGACTGGAATGAGCCGTTTTATATCAAGATTCAAGTACATTTACAGCACCCTTTAACTAGAACACAACTGTCTTTTTTTTTGTTTGTTGTTTTCAGTAAAGGGCATATGATGTCTACACAGTCTACAGATACATATGGCAGTGATATCGGTGAGCAGAGAGAACATACAAAACATCCTGCTGATCACTCCTAACATACGGTAGGTGTCCTCCCTCAAAGGTTCTGTAAGGCAGAGACATGTGACTGTCTGTGATGTGAAAATCCTATGTGTGTGGTCGCCTGCTCCCGCTGAGTACGAGTTGAACGTCTACAGAAAGGCCGCCGTCTTCCGTGCAAACTCTTTTATAGCAAGTTGGCTTCCACAACAATGGTGGGATTCTCAATGTCAGCTTTGCTCTGGACCATCCGCAGCTCCAGCTGTGCAGGGCTGGGCTTTTTCCCCGGACCAGCCATTTCTGAAAGAAAGGAAGGACGGCACTTAAAGAGTTTGACCGGTAAGCACTTTACAAATAAACCAAAACCCTGAGTTACAAAATGTAAATCTTTTCTTGATTATTGTGCCGTTTCTCAGATGTAAGTGAAACAACAGGCATTACTCGTTTTCCTTTTGTGAAATGATCCACACTGAGGTGAAGGAGGCCTCTCTGAAGGCAGTGGCCTCCACACAGAGTAAACTATCAGTTGCTGTATTACTGTTATTTCTGTAAATATAACTGCAAAAGAACAGTGGAGAGCAAGAGAGTGCCCTTATCCAGGAAACAACTTTGAGACAAAGTAGAGAGCTGTCCTGCTCTGCAAAAATAAACACAGACCCTACCATTGGCGTAAGTGATGGTCCTCTTAATGACATGGTGCATGACTGAAACCGTCTTTTCACAGGCAGCCTGTGTGAAAACCAGCAGAAGAGGGGGAACGACATAAACAGGGCTGAACAGCAGGGGGGAGATCCATCACTTATTTACTGAACATATACACGTGGGACCAACCTTTAGGTCTTTGGGGTGAAAATGAGTCCATGCTAGCAACATGGCTGCAAAAAGGTCTCCAGTCCCCACAAACACAGCATCCACTTTGGGGATGTCCAAGCAGATTTTCTGACTGATGACGGTCCCGCCAGGTTTCACTGCAGGACAGTGGAGATAAAGCATTATCACAAAGTCAAGAGATGGCAGTTAAAACCCACTCTGCATGGGGAGAACAGTTAGCTTTGAAAAGCATCCAATCCCTCTTCATCATTAAAAAAACACTTTATTTTATTTACCAAGACTAATAGCTGATTTTTAAATTGTAATGCCAAAATGTCCTTTCTAACACAGGGAATCAGTCGATGCAAAGAAAGTTGATGCTTTACTTATTTTCTGGCTCCCGAGGGCCACCAGGAACTCTTCCCCGCGTTTTGACAGCAGGTCAGTACTGGTGAGGACCACAGTCTCCGGGCCCATTTTGTGAAGTAAGTCCATCACCTGAAAAGACGGTAAGGAACCACTTTATACAGGAACATATCAATAAAAGCCAAATCCAGCATACAGGAAATAGTTCTGACACCCACCTCTATGGCATCAGCCTCTGTGGTAATTTTCCTACCAGTTAAGATTCTAAAGAAAAATCAGAAAAGTTCCTCTTTTATCTTTAATAAATTATTTAGGAGTAGGCTGGATAATAAATTTTTCTGTTTTCTTCATATAGAAAAACTTTCAAATGCACTTACTCTGCTTCGAATTGGTTGGGGGTCAGGATATCGGCCACGGGCACCACTTTGTTCTTGTAGACTGGCAGGAGGAGCTCTGGAACGTACTGAAACAAGCAGCAAAAAAAAGAAAAATGGTAACACATTTGTTTTTCTAAAGCATTTCTATATTTGAATGCATGAGCTGCTTTAACAAACCGTTGAATTGTCAAACCAGGCATGACGGAAATGAAAAGCTGCAAACTAAACAAACTGATGAGAGTGAACACGCTTCTCTTCTGAGCTCAGGAGGATTAATTTTCTTAAGGATCTCTTAAGATGAAGCCACAGTCACTGTTCATCAGTAGTGGGAAGCTCAATTCTATCGATCAAGCTTTTTGCTTTGCAAACATAAAATATATATACAATATATCTTTTTCTCCACTGTGGAAAAATGTGAACTGCATCACCCCATACTTAAGAAAAATGCTGTGCGTCTTCATGTGAAGTCAAATTTTAAAAAGGTATTCTTTATTCGTTGTTTTCAAATCACTGGGAAGTTGTAAAGTCCCAGTTTCCAACAGTCCCTGAATGCACCTTGAGCCCAGCTCTGGCAGACATTGCCTAACAAAAGCAACAGCTCTAAATGTTTAAGTGAAGTTCTCCATTTATGGACCCAGTATGAAAGCATGATAACTCAGCAGTTTTTTTAACCAGTCAGCAGCTATTAGGCTTTGTTACTCATGTTTTCAAAGGTCGACTTCGAAGAGACTGTACCTAAAGGGATCGGAGCAGATAAGGGAAATGGGTTTGAGCGGGAAACTTCCAGTTTGTTTTGTGTGTGGCCGGCGGTGTATTAGACTGTATTATCCATCATACAGTGATGAAGTATTCTGGTTATTAAGCATAACAGATCTAAAAAGAGGCTGATCCAGAGGAAGAGAGGGGTGGAGCAGAGCAGTTCACTGCCTTACATGATCTTGAGCAGAGTTGCTATTTACAAAAAGAAAAATGAGGTGGTGCCATGTCACGCTGTTATTTGGAACATAGCGTATCACAGATATTTCTTTTAGACCTCAAGATATTGCATCAGTTTGTGGAGAGAAGAGCGCAGTGGGTCGCTTTTAAATGTTAAGATTTTAAAATGATTTGCATCAAAACCACAAAACTAAACACTATCGACTTCTAAACAATCACGTCCTATTTAAAGTGGGCTGACAGGGAAGTTTAGAGTAGGAGGCTTACCATAGCACCATGGTCTCCCATAACAGGATCACAAACTGTGGAAAAAAAACATTTTTTAGAAGAATCCATATTGGGGGGGAAAAAAAATAAGACACTTAGCCATGTGTTATCGTTTCACAAACGCAAAACCCGACCCAACCCTCACCATAAACCAATCCGGGATTTGCCTTCTTTAGCTCCTGGATAATATCCACCACCGTCTCCAGGAAGGACGTGTCCCTGCTGTACCCTGCAGCACAGAATTAACAAATCCATTTAAAACACAGCAACGCTGTGACAATAAACACCCTGAACCAGGAGGCGCGCTTACCTGTGAGGATGTAGTCATAGTGGTTGACATTGTTGAGCTTGATGCCCTCATACAGCACGTTCAGCTCCTCTGCTGTCAGCACCTGTCCCTTCCAGTGGGCGTAACCTGGCCACAGAGCGCACAGTGCACGGGTCATCCTGCAGATTCAGTGCTGACAGGCTTCCATTAAGAGCACAAAGCCACTCAGGAAACAAACAGTTACATTTTCATATAGGTGTGGGGTTCCAGATATTTTCAGGCTGAACGAGGGACCATGAAACAAACATTGGCCTGATTCAAATTGAGGTTACTTTTATGCCCACTTGGCACTGTCTTTTCAAACCCCCCAAAACTCTTTCTGGTTTCTAGGGGCCTCCGCAGTGACTGAATGGTAACCTTGTATCCCGGCTGCCGGCTCCCTCTTTCCTTTGTCTCGCTCTCACCCTTCACCCAGAACACAGCCGCAAAAGCTGCTCTGACTACAAACGATCCCACACGGAACAGAGCCACGGCACTTCCAGCCGGCAGGCTGGAGGAAAGAGCTCACGTCGAGTCAAAGATTTCTCCCGGGCCAGCGAGCGAACCCCCAGACGAGGGCTCACTGTTCTTACGGAGAGCAGGGGGGTGTGCACTGAACATTTCCACATCTAATTGTTTACACATGCTGACAAAAACAAAAGGTGGGAGGACAGTCTGAGGCGTAAATTAGCCCAAATCTTCTGATGTGAGCAGCTTTCTCTTTCCAGTGACCTGAAGTTTCTAATGATTTAAGCGGTTCCTGTGTAGACGTCTGCTGCCCCTGCGGTGGAGGCACATTCCTCACATATTTTGGCACATGAGACCCAGATAATAATCCCATCATCTCTGCATGTATCCTGAGTCTCACGAGTTTCATTGTGTTCTTGTTTTCGTTAACCGGGCAGTCAGCAGCATTTCTACTCTCCAACTGTGCGACATCTCATCAGATATCTGAGGGATAAGCGGAGCTCCAATTTGTGCCCCATTTTTTTCATCAGTTGATTAATAAGCAACATTTGGAAGAGCCAGGAGGCCCCACATTAAAAAACAAACAAACAGCAACTACAAAAACCCCACAAAGACACTGCAAGGGCTTCCAATGTTAACTCTTTCAACCACTTCTTAATCACGAAGCTCACTACAGCGGAAATCAGTCTGGATTCAACGGATACCCTCAGATAGAGGAAAACAGCACCAAAACTCCACAAAAAAGGTTATAGCTCAAACGTTTGAGCTTTTGCCTTGACGGGAACATCAACCATGGCTGAAAGGCCCATGTTAAATGGATGTATTTTTAAAGAATGTTTAACAAAAATGGAGTATTTCAACACTCAACATAGAAAAAAAATGTACAAGGATCTACCTTCAATTAAACTTTTAATAGTGGATAATGTGTCCATCTGTAGCACATAGGCCTTAAACATTGATAAACACATCACCCAATTAGAGGCCAAACTCCCTTCCAAATAAAAAAAGTTACATACTTTAAAAAATTGTTTAAAAACCCAGTTGGTTCTGGTCAATAAGGCTTTGACCCTCAAAACTGACTGTGGCTAATGGGCACCAAGCCTGTTAATGATTTTCATAAGAGACTCAAACAGAAACCTGTTTCAATGATTCCTTTAAGCCTTTTTAGGTGTTACTTGAGTCATCTGTTTCAGCTCATCAGGCAGTTTGGACCCATGTCCCAAGTCCAGACACACACTCACACAAACAGTCAGCTATATGATAATCCTCAAGGTATGCATTGTACGATGCAGGACGTTTCACCCATTTAAATTCTAAATCACTGTCATGGGATCTGAAGTTGAATGCTTTGTTTACTCCAAGACAACTCCTGATAAGTAAGAACACATAACTAGGGATGATAAGACACATATTCCCTAAACAACCAAATTATCGTCTGAGATAGCTAAAGCAAACCAAAAACAGGAAGTGAAAAAGGGCACAGTGCATCCAAACATTTAATCGTTTAAAATTCAGATTAAGACGATGTGTCTACAGTTTGATCCACTCAAGGACTGATGTCCGGGGGAACTGAGTGGATAATCAACGAACGCAAAACGAGGAGAGGTTGGCTAATGAAAATGGCTGCACTTCAACTTCAGAGCTCTTAAGTGTGCTTTCAAACCAATTAAGACAATAAAACCTAAAGATATCTAGCATTATAAAGTTAAGGTTGCACCTAACTCCTTCTCTATTACTGAAATAACATATAACAACATTAGAAACAGGCAGACTGATGCATTCACTGAATGAAAACATATTGACTCTTATTGATCTAAATTGCATTGAATGCATTGCAATTTTTGTATTCAATCACTTCAAATGTCAGACTTTGGCACTTTACATGGATAATGAGGCTGGCTCCTTTGAGAAAATGAATGGAAAAGCAGCTCTTAGCCCACCTGTGTGATTGGAGAACTGCACAGAGTTGATGGAGTCCACTTCAAAGCCCAGCACCTGGATGTTATCAAATGAAGCAGTTTATTGAAGAAAGAGGCCATAAAGCATGTTCAGCATTAACTCTGTTATTTGCACTTATTATTTACTACATAGCAATAAGTGCATGCTTACAACCAATCCTGCATTACATGACACAATCCACATATTCCTCTAACAACAAGCAACACAAGGAAGAGGATTTCTGCAAAACTCAGAACTTGCTCAGATGGTTATTTGTAGCATGTAAATCACATGATCTTCTAGAAAGTGGAAAATGCCTGGAGGCAGTAATAAGAACCAGACTTTGAACCATGTTTACTGTGTGTGAAAGCACCTTTTGGGCATCCAGCTCTGCCATTTAACTGTAACCATTAGGAGTCAGTCCTTAATGTTTGGTCAGAGGAGAAAGCGTCTGCTAAAATAACGGTACAGAAGACATAAGCCCCCCAAAGCAGGGAGTCACGTGTGACTTTTTGTCAAGTCGTTTTCCCATTTTTTTCCCCACTTTGAATTTTAACCTGTTCTTTTCGTTCTTGACACAGTGTTGGCCCACTGAAAACTGGCCATCTGAATTCAAAGTCAATTTCCACTTACCTGCAGCGGAAATGCTGCCGACTTGTTCCCTACGTATCCCCTGACAACATGACTCTGAATGGATAACACACGACACTCCATTACCACAATTTTACGTTTAAAAACACCAAACAGAGATAGCTGACGGAAGTGGACCTAAAACTGGCATTAAAATAGTCTACACGCCCCGACACACTGAAACTTAGCAAGTGAGGAGTGAACCCAGCATTGAAGGGCACAGGAGGCGCTGCTGATTGGAACATTGACAGCTTTTGATCAGGCAGCTACAAGGACACCTATAGCGGTGCATTCAGGGGATGGCTGGAAAAGTGGTCCAATAGCATTCCCCACCAAATGAAACGTCATCTTCACGCTGTTAAAGCCCCATAATTATTAGGCTGTCTTAACTATTGTCTTATCTATGTGTGGACTGTACATGATATATATTGCACACACTATACAATAAACTAAATATAAAATCATAATAATGGTATGATCGCTCTTGTATGAAAACAACTATATCTAAGCACTCTAAATTTAACATTCAGTTTTGTGAAAACTGCTGTTAGATCTGAGATTTTCATCTCTGCACACATATCCATTCAAGTGCCTTTTGAAGAAAATGAAAATGCAATTTGGGAATGTGGTAACTTTTTGCAGGCTTTTGAGATAATGTATTCCTTAATCATTAAACCTTGTCATCTTGAGAGCACACAAGAAGTAACTCATCATTATGAGACACCTTTTTTTTTGGTTTAACAGAACCGCTTCTGACCAATTCCATTCATTTTTAGATTTGTATGTTACATCTGTCTTCAATAATCTCTCCTGACACTATCAGTGCCCCCTCTTTTCAGCCTGTTATGTTTCTCTCTAAACAGACAGCAAACAGTTGCATACTGTCTTCATTGTCACTTCAGAACAGTGGCGTTCAATGATGGTGACTACCTGATGTTAGTGAAAAGCAGCCATGTCCAAAAGTCCACACCTGTAAAGATTTAGCTATGAGAAACAGCCCCAATTGTTAAAATAAATAATTATTTATCTTTTCTCAATAGTTTTTTCCATCCCTTTCTGTAAAATGCTTGAAAAACTAACAAAGCCATATTTGTGCACCACTGTTTAATGGCACCCATTCATGGTGCATACAGAGCATTTTATATGACCAACACATGTTGTAAATCATGGAAATGTTCTTTCTTTCTTTGTTACATTTTTTTTTAAACCACAGTTGTTCGTCTAACGGGCTTTCCTTTAAATAGCTGCTCTTGTTACCACCAGAGGGCAGGAGAGAGCAACTAAATAGGAGCTGAAAAACTCAAGCACCAAATGAGAACACAGGGGAATTGTGTTTATTAATTTTTTAAAAATAATTCCACTTAAAAACATGGTACAGATTTAGAAGTATGCATGACGTGAATAGAAAGAATAAATGTTGACATGAACTGGCCTCAATATGGACAAATGATTGTCTTTCTTCAAAGTACTGTGTACATTCTAAAAGGTCTTTGTCTTGAAATCAAACACTTTTATGTACACAGCTGTGACTCTGAGAGGCGATTATGTACAGAGAAAGCACTTCATGAGCTTTTAGCTCTTTGCACAACCTCAGCAACACGAGAGACGGTACTGAGTCTTGCCAGACTTTGTAGCTTGTCTAAACAGCCCTACACAGAGAACATATTTCTGAGTCTGAAAGTGAAGCAAGCTTGCATCTTTTAATTGGACATGAAGGAGTTTTCATAGTCTGTAGTTGATTCTGGTGCTCAGAGACAGAAAACAGGTCAACTGAGCAGTTCACAAACCATGCAGACGCCTTAGAGATGAACACAGAGACCATACAGAAGGAACACAAACCAGGCGGGTGGGTGAAATGTATATTAATTTGCACAGTAAAGTGTAACTCAAGAGGAGTGGAAGGGTTTTGTTTAAGGTTTATGGCCACTCTGGATAATAATCCTTGTCAGTTTTCAATTGGCACTGAGTGGTTAATGCAGATGTAGTTGATGGTCAGCGGGTGAAAGGCCTTTCTGTGACGTTTAGTAGTGTAACCTGACCCTAAAGTAGCAGAAAACACTCACTCAGAGTTGACAGTGATGGGTTTCCATGTCTCAAAAAAATTAAAAAAACACAAAACTGATGTACGTTTCATTTTCAGACTCACATTCCTGCGAGGCAGATGTTTATATCTGTATTTAGTGTTTAATTTATCAGTCAACAAATAGCTGTCTGCTGATTGGGTTAAGATAGAAAGTTGACTTTTAGTGAGGGTAGTGATAAGATAAGTGAGTACGCAAAACTCTTCTTTGGCATGTATGGAGAAAAATTGGTGCTGCCAAAGTTGTTTAAACAAAACAAGTACAAAACCTCCATTTTGATAATGCTATGTTTAAAGGGTTTTGCAATGAAGAATTAGTAAAGTAAAAACATGTGAAATTATCTGTCACAGAGATTTAGTGAAGCGGGGTGCCAGTTTCAGGAAAAGACATTACTTTAAATGTTCACATAAACAATATATGGAGACAGCAATGAATATGCCTCAATGTAATTTCAGTAATCATTTGCAGCTTGGCTATTTTTTGAAAATGAAGAACTGTTAGTATTGTTTCTGAGAAGATTATACAACTAATTATAACATTAGGAATTATTTAGAAGGAAAAATTGCCTTTATAAATGTCTGTTAAGTGTCAGACATGATTTTAGACATGGGAACATGTAAAACATTCTTGCCCCAAAATATAATAAAATTCTTACTTTTCTGCATGTTGGCCTATTCTAAATCTGCCCTGGCTTTTGATCTGTTTTGTATGACTATAAATAACATGAACCAATAAAGAAGACTCAAATATTAAAACAGTTACAGTAATAACGTTTTAACTATAAAAGGCAAACAATAAAAACGCTCAGGTTTACTTCAATAGGCAGATAAGCTGAGTAATTAAGAGCACAGGAGGACCTGCTTTTGTCCCGTACTGGTTGTGTTTCGGCTGTTACCTGGCCTCACTTGACTGTTCACAGTTGATATCCTTCCGCGCGGCCCACATAGCCCCGCCTCTGATGCTAAAACCGAGCGGGGAGGAGCCAGGTAGCAGACAGACTGACACGTAAGAGCCCTGCGTAAAATTTAAGGAAGAAGCTGCATCTTTCCCCTTAAATTGACTAGGGACCGAACAGCCTTACCGCAGACTTGATGAATTGTTCGGCCGCCCTTTTTCAGAACCCCGTTTGAGCGCCTCGGAACCGACCGAAGCCGGACCGTAAGGCTGATAGGAACCGACGCTCAAAATGAGATTTTCTGTGTTTATTTCGGTCCTGCGGTCGCTCGGCCCGGTGGTAATCGGCATTTCTTTAGGGTTCACGTTGAGTTTATTGAGCATTAGCTGGACGGAAGAAGCGTGTCCCATTGACGGTAAGGAGGGGGAAGATGTGACTTCGGGTCAGGATGGGCTGCTCAAAGGAGCCCGAAAGCCCAACTCTATTTCGACTGCCAACGATATTGAGTCCGAAGAGGATTTCGAACCGAGAATAGTCCCATACAAACAAGTCCAACCTAGCGCTCCAAAGAAAGTTTTCAGGTAAGTTTCGGGTCACTCTCTTAACACAGTCGACGTAGTCTTTAAGCTCTGAATAAAAGGTCAGATTAGTAAAGCCCACAGCACCAGCACAGAGGGCGCCAGTGTTGTCCCCTTCTAGATGAAAAACGGAATGATGATAGAATCAGTCAGTCTTGCTCCCTTTTCGGTGTGCAGGTGTGCAGGTGACCTGGAACTAACAGAAAAAAATACCTCAGTGTAGCAACAGCTGTCATCTCATGGAAAAATGTGTGCTCTCTCTGACACTGACCCGAATAGAGCAGAGGCTGACACGGCCTGACTGTGTGCCCACAAACTGGAGGATGCCTCATTTACATTTCGTCCATGAACGTGCAAACACTTCCTAGAATTTTCCTGAGTGGAGACCTTGTCTCACCCCGAGGTGACTGGATTTAACTTCAGCCCCCTCGACAAGTATTTTACTTTGAGGAGAAGTTTGGCTGTAATTTGTGGGGAAGCAATTTTTAATCACCCACATATAAATGGCGGTGCAGCGGTTTATGGCATCTGAAAAATGTATTTTCATTTGCTAGAAGCTGCTGTCTGTTTTGTCCTTTGTGTAGTTAGCAGGAAGAAGAGGCAGAGGTGTGTTTGTCTATTTATTTGTTTATTTGTCCAAACAAACAAGCACAACCCCAGTTACTTTGTTTATGAATTCATTCATTTTCACTATAGAGAAAAATGTAGTACTCTTAGAGCTCAGATGCAGGAATATGATAACGTTCCTCTTATCTTGTTTATGTTGTTGTCTGACCGGTTTACGGCTTTAAAATTTGTCATCGCTGATGCTGTGCGTGGGAAAGATGTTATAGTTTGTGTCTGCAGATGAATCACAATGCGCGTCTATACCTGTTTGCCTTCCAAATGAGGATATGGATTATCTTGTAAGTCTGTCACAGTGTTAAAAAACTCTGGGGAACATGTTGTAATGTGGACATACCTATTTCTCTTTGTCCAGGTAATTACAGTTCACTCCTAAAAACTCAGCAAAGTAGTCAAATGACTTATGTAAAACTTTTCCACTGATAGACGTTTTGTTTTTTATTTTTGTTTGCGTGTCAGATACCATGAAGGGAAGCATTCATGTCGTCTCTGTTCTTGATTTGTTTTCCAGAGCTAAGTACATCAGCACAGAGTTGGGGATGCGCGAGCGCCTGTTTGTTGGGGTCCTGACATCCAAAAACACCATCAACACTCTGGGCGTTGCTGTGAATCGCACCATAAGTCATCATCTGGACACCGTGGTCTTTTTCACTGGCTCCCGCAACCGCAAAGTCCCTCACGGCATGTTTGTGGTCTCTCATGGTGACGAGAGGCTGATATGGAACATGTTTCAGACCGTCAAATACATTTTCGACCATGTCATCAATGAGTATGATTGGTTCTACTTTGTCCAAGATGACGCCTACACAGAGGCCGACCGTATCAAAGCCTTGGTCGAGCACCTGAGCATGGATCGAGAGCTTTACATGGGCAGCCCCGAGGAGTTCATCGGTGGGGAGATGGAAGGGAAGTACTGCTATGGAGGTTTTGGGTACCTTCTGTCTCGTAGCCTGCTCCTGCGACTCCAGCCCTTCCTGGAAAACTGCAGGAATGACATCCTGAGCTCCAGGCCAGATGAGTGGCTCGGAAGGTGCCTCATCGATTACACCAGCACAAACTGTGTTGGTGAATATGAGGTGGGTTGTGTTTATTCTTGAAGGGCATTTGAAATTCTCCCTGCGTCTTTCTGAACAGCAAGCAGCGTAGATTTTAATGTATAAAGGCTGTTCTTTTTTTCTTTTCTTTTTTTTAAAGATTCTGAATTCTTCAGGCTGGGGGGAAATGAACTGAGGCACTTCATCTTTTTAAATGAAAGATGAGCCACAGAAAAAAAAAAGGCTGGAAGACTGTCATCCAGAACAGCTGTGTGACAGTTTACAGCAGGGGTTCTGCTCCTCAGTAGAAAAACAAAACTGTCCCTGTAGAAATCAGGCTTTGCCTCAGGGGCAGCACTTAAAACTGACAGACAGCTATATAGAACTGTAATTACCATGCTAGCAAAGAGACGGTATTCATATTACAGAGTAGAAGGCTAATGCCTTTTAACTTTCCACAGCACCAGGGGCAACATAGGATAGGTAAACAGGCATGGAGAGCACAGCTGAGGGTTGAGCTAGGTTCAGTGGTGTGAAAATCCCCTGTGGGTCAACATGTTTTGCTCCTCTAATGTCATTAGCGTTTAAGGTCAAACGAGCTGTGCCCCAGCTCCTTTCAGGCAATTGTTTGTGTCCTTCAGTTCCATTTTCTAAACTTTGTCTTGGCACATTGTAATGCATCACAAGAAGAAACTTGACTGTGTTATACATGAAGTATAAACATGTGCTTGGAATTAATTTTCAACTAATTCCATAGATGTTTAAAGTTGTGTTCTCCCATTTTTTTTTTGTCTTGGCTTGAGGCCAGAGCAGGAAACCATGTTGTTACACAATTCAGTGAGTTACTTGGCTATCTGAAGTGCCCTGAGCCAGTGGACCCCCAGTGGGTTCCTTAGATAAGAGTGTGAAGCAGGGGGGAAGTTAACTGGCCTGGAATGTTCAAGAAATGGTTCGAGCACAAAGCCAGAAATAATTTTCTCTGGTTAAGAAAACAGTGATGGCAATTAGGCATAGACAATGCTTTGCTAAGTGTACAGCTACAGACTGTAAGCTGTTGGCAAACATTTGTAATGGAGTGGCTTCAATGCTTAGTCAAGCAGTGTCTCCATTTTATGTTCTTTTAATGGCTTGATCACACAGGGTAAACTGTTTTTAATCCCCCCAGCTCTTTAGGTGTTTTTTGTGTTTTCCTTTTGAATGATGATAAGTGGGACCTCACTGGGTTTACTGTTTATCCCTTCTATACATTTGGTAAATGTGAGAAAATATAGTTGTTGTTTTTTTTAAGGAAAAAGAAAAAGCTATAAGATTTATTTTTAAAACCTTTGAACCATTTCATTCTCTGCGCTTCATTTCAGGACTTCTTGGTCTGTTTGCAGTGAAGATGAGTTTAAGATGCTTGTCATGTTTGTTTTGGAGGAAATCACACAGCGGAACAACTGAGCTTGGAATAACATTGGACATGTTTCTGTCACGCCTCTGTGTCTTTTCTCAGGGACTTGAGTACCACCATTATGAGTTGGGAAAAAACTCAGATCCAAGTAAAGAAGAGAATGTGGCGTTTGAAAGAGCTCTGACTGTCCATCCAGTGTCTGACCCAGAGCAGATGTACCGGCTGCACAGGCACTTCTCTGAGATTGAACTTCAGAAGACTTACGATGAGATTGCTAAACTGCAGGTAAGCAGGTTGCTAAGAGTCACGAATCACCTATCGCTCAGTCAGGAAAAAAAGTACAAACACAATCCTCTTTCCTTCCAATTAATTCTGACTTTTTGCCTAAAATGTCTAAATCCCAGCACAGGGATGCATACATTGTGGGTTGAGAGAAGCCTAGTTTTAAACAGTTCTTGTGTGTCCACAGGCAGAGATAAAAAATGTGAGTGTGGTCGCTTTCGATGGCAACCGAAGCTCTCAGTGGCCGGTGGGCGTCAATCCACCCTTTGAGCCTAAAACACGTTTCGAAGTTCTGAAGTGGGAATACTTCACAGAGGAGGAGATTTACTCCTGCATCGACGGTGCTCCCAAATGTGAACTGCGTGGCATTGACAAAATGGATGTAGCCGATGTCATCGACACAGCGGTAGAAGAACTAAACAAGAAGTATATGCCTGCCTTACACCTTAAGAAGCAGCAGCTGATTAATGGCTACAGGCGCTTTGACCCCACCAGGGGCATGGAGTACACCTTAGATCTTCAGCTCGAGGTTGTTAATCAGAAAGGTCACGGCCGGTCCATCACCAAGAGAGTTCACTTGGTTCGGCCTTTAAGCCTCATCGAGATAATTCCCATGCCCTATGTCACTGAGGCTACGAGGGTTCACATCATTATACCTCTTACTCTGGATGACCGGAGTTACGTCAACCATTTCCTGGAAGTGTTTGCCTCAAATGCCTTTGAGACCAGTGAAAACGCCATCCTGACCTTCTTGTTCATTTATGACCCGGTGGAGGCGCAACAAGTCAACCACAATGACATATTTGCTGGGGTGAAGTCTCAGATAAATGTCTACGAGCGCAAATACCCCACCGTGAAAATCCCGTGGATCAGTGTCAAGACAGAAATACCCTCCCAGATCAAGTTCATGGACATCATCTCAAAGAAGCACCCGGTTGACACGTTGTTCTTCCTGGCCCACGTCAACACAAACGTAAATGCTGAATTTCTCAATCGCTGTCGCATGAATTCCATTAACAACTGGCAGGTGTTCTTTCCCATCCACTTCCAGCAGTACAACCCAGATGTGGCTTACCACAACCAGCCCCGTCCAGCCACCGTGGATCTGGTGAAAGACGCCGGGCGTTTTGACCGCAGGTCCTTTGACGAGGCGTGCTTCTACAACTCGGACTACATGGCGACGCGCTCCCGAATGGTCACAGACGTCCAAGAGAATGAGGACATCCTGGAAAGCCTCGACATCTTTGACATGTTTGTAAAATATTCAGGCCTGCATGTTTTCAGGGCGGTAGAGCCAGCGCTGCACCAGCAATACCGCTACCAGTCCTGCAACCCTAAGGTCAGCGAAGACGCCTACCATAGATGTGTTCAGAGCAACATGGAAGGTCTCGGCTCGCGATCCCAGCTCGCCATGCTGCTGTTCGAGCAAGAACAGGGAAACAGTACTTGAAAATACAGGAAGACCTTTGCTCCTGCTTGTTGTTTGAATGGATGTTCAAAGAGATGTGCGGTAGTGTGGAGTGAAAGGGAGCAGCGTTGGTACGACACTCTGTAAGGTAAACCACACCTGGTCCCTAATGAAGCCCATTTTTGTGGCTCCAGCAATACTTTCCTTAAACATCAAGGGCTAGTAGGTTTGCCTAAGTTCTTAACTCTTTTTGTACAACATTTTTTTTAGAAATGAATGCAGTACGTTCGTTATGAAACAGTTTTATATGCTGACGAGTTGCTGAAACCAAATGTTTTTACTGTGCTGACACATTTTTAAAAATGGCATCAAACAACTTTTAACCACTTGAGAACAGAAACTCACGACTGATTTAAATTAATTTTTTTATTTTTTATTATTGTGTCTTAGTTTAGTTGCTTACCGAAGTAACTTATTGATATTTATGAAAGAGCCGGTACAGGATGGGCTTCTGAGGACTAAGATTGGTCAGGGTAAGGGTGAATATCAGGAATTTGTTACAGCTGGAACCAGAATGTGAGGGTAAGCCAATCGGAGGAAAAGTATAGCAGAGCATGGCTTTGTCATGGTGGTAGAAGTAAATTGGCATCAGTCATGCATCCAGAAAAATACATATGTGACTTGTTGAAGCGAGTCATAGATTCTATCTCTAGCTTGGTTATCAAACTGCTGCAGGAAATACTCTGCTCTCTGTAATTTTGCGTGTAATTGACTTATGGGAGCTAATGCACCGGCGACAGCAGCCCATGACTTGGTATGGGAGATGTTTGGTTAAGCCAATGAACCAAAACAATCAGGGACTGGAGATAAAAAAAGCTTTAGTGGGTTGTTGCTCTTCAGTGGGTTCAGACGTAGAAGAAACAACACCTGCTCACTTGGAGAATGTCCTTTTTTAAAAGAGTGAGAGGTGTTTTTAAACCTGGGCGTCCATTTGAGCTCCAATAGAGTTTCATTGAGATATTGCACCACTCTTTGTGTGTCCTGTCACGTCAGGACACCCAGATATTGCACTTTTGATGCTTAACTGGTTTGAGTATTTCCAAAAGTGTAGAATTGTATGATGTGCCTTGATACAGACTTTTAATAACGTTGGCTGTTTTAAAAAGAAAAGATTTAATGTTTGTCTTGCAGTTCACCCCCTGAGGTGATTTGCGTTGGGTGTGAGTTTTTGTTACGACAAATGTGACTGAATCGAAAGCATGGGCGTTGTAATCTTTCACTGTGGATAAAGCCTGTTACAGCTGGGACCCTGAAGTGGGTAGCAAACTTGAACATATCATAATCCCAACCGCCCACAAGGCTGGATGTGTGCCTCAAAACAGGGCGGGGTTCTCTGGAAAGTATCTGTTGGTCTTCCATATTGAATGCAAAACGACTTTGAGTTGAGTCTGTCTCTCTCCTTTTGGTGTTGCAAGAAACTTTAAAAGTAGGAAGCAGAGGAGACGCGAGGTCACATGACCTTGCTAAATGCCTAAAACTTTTTTCTGAATCTTTTTTTTTATTTTTATTAAACAATAGTATTTTAGAATTGAATTAGGTCAGACTCTTTTCCTTTTTTTTCTTTCACATCAACTATGTGTGTAGTTGTTCCAAAGTGCTCTGGATTGTATTGTTAGTATTTGGGTGTCATTGTCCTCCTTTGACTGAGCTCCGTTGCTGGGAAACGCAGTGGGAGATCCGTCACTGAGAAGTAATGGATGTAGCGGTACTAGACACCAGTAAGTTATTAGTACAATATAATGTGCAATATTCTAAATAATACAGTTTAGGGGACGGGACTTTTCATTTCAGAGATAACTGCCTGAAGTTGGGCAATGTGTGTGTGCATGTGTGTGTGTGTGTGTATATTTATCACAGTACTGTTGGTGACTCATGATTTCTGGTTGATGCAAAGTAAATACACTGTAATTTCTCTGAAAGGACCTTTTTTTAAAAATATATATATTTTGCTCTCACCAGACACTTTTTGGCTTTCAAGTAGACTCTGCCGTGCACCAAACGGGGGGACTTCTTTAACCCTGCTGGCATGTTGATACACATGTAGGACACACTACATTTGCGGCGGAGCTCCTAAACAGCCGTTGCTGTTTACGCTGCCGTGTGAGCACAAAGCGTTCCGTTTTTGGTCAGTTTTTCTGGCAATAAAAAAAAAAAAAAAACGCATCTCTTTTTTTTTTCTAAAGAAAATCTTTTATTTAATTCTAAATAAAGAAAAAATCATAAAGAGAGCAGCCTTGGACCGTGACCTAGTATGAATGTTCTTTTTAGGTGTGATGATGATAATATGCGGAATTGGGTACTGAGTCTTCCAAAAAGGAAAAGAAAACACTGTGAAAGAGAGAGAGCTGAGATTACAATAGGAAGTCACAGAGATGGCTTGTCTCTGCCTTCTGTCAACAAAAAAGGACTATCATTAAGGGAGAGGACAGATTAATTATCTTGCATTGTTAACACAGCCACCATCGCTGAGCGAAGGCTCTTAAGTATTTTGTCCATTATTTATTCGTCTGTCGGATCTCCTGAATTACACAGGTTCTAAATACTTCTGCACTATCAGAGGCTTTCATGAAATTCTTTGTACATGTATGAATATTTTATAGGCACTCTATTTTTTAAATCTCTTTTTTTTTTTTTTAGCTTTTACACAACAAGTGATATTTTATTATTGTCATTATTTGTGTGTTTAAAATCAAATGTGTTTTTTTTCCCCTTTTGTAACTTTATGGTTCTGATATCTTGAGCATTTCATGTTTATTTTTAATCGAATTGGAAAAATCAAATGCTTGCAGGATTTAGATTTCCATTGATAGTTTACACAGTTTTAATGCTCATGGGTACTCCATTAAAACCAAAGCAGAACACGTCTTTCGACTTGATTGCTGTAATTTTCAATGAACTGTGAATTAATGTAATTTTTGAATAAAGTATATTTGAATATTTTGACCTTTGTTTATATATTTTTTTATTTGAATTTTTTAAAATTTTATTGCAACTACAAAATCCAGTGTGTCCTTTAGGTGTCAGCAAAAGAACACGTTTGCTCTCAACACTCCTGGTTGCTGCCAGTTTTTTTTACTGCCGGTTGCAAAGTTGTGGAATATTTCTGAACAACACTGTGAGGGACCTTTTCTGACATAAAATTTATGAAGGTTTGGATTTACTTTCATTCAGTTCTGCAGTGTGTTCTCGGAGGAGCTGCTGTCGAACGTCGTGCACATGTCAGACTGGAGGTATTCCTGATGCCAGGGCTGGGTAAAAACAGGGAAAATGCTGCGACCTTAATTACAGCTTTAGTTATTTCAAGGGTCTATGTGCAGTATCCTTAGGCATGATGTAAAACCACATAACTACAGAGCAGCTGGGACTTAATTGTAAGGCATTATTTTGTACTTCGTTTTTATGCTCAATCCCAGGACTTTCTCCTCCCTCGTGCTGTGTCAGGCCCCAAAGACACTGACACTTTAAAAGTCTGCTTTCGTTTGTGTGTGTGCATTTTATTTTGATTGCAATAAAAAAAACCTTCACCTGCAGGGCATTCCTGCAGAATTGCCGTTTGCAACATGATGAAAATGGATCTAACTCCTGGCTCGTAATGTTGCTCCTCTAACACTTGTCCTACATTTAGCTTTCCCAGAATCATCCTTTTGAGAGGCGTCCAAGTCTCTTTTTTTTCGTTTTTTTGTTTTAACCTTGTGGGTGATTCTTTTAAAAACCATGTCTAGGTCAGGAAATGCTTCAATCGGATGGAATGTGAGACATTTTTCAAAAATGTCTTGGGAAAAATGCAGAAGAAAATGCAGACAACAAAGACAGCATTGAGCCTAGCATTTAGGAGGCACAGTTTTTTTTATCTAAACTTTAATAGTCATAGTATTTCCCATATTTAACATTTATAAAATGTGTTCTAACAGAATATAATCACGATCAAGATCACACTATGTACACAATGCAAGAGCTCTGCTTTACTGCCAGGGTGATCCATTTCTGTCAGATATGGGATGTGATTTCTTATCCTGGACAGAGGCTTTATTTTCCCTCCCCTTATATCTGTCTGTTGAGGCTCAGCTACTGATACTTGGATGAAAAAAACCCAAACAAAATCATGCTCAAAATGTACCGCTAAGGGCTAATTGGTTGACAGACATTTTTTTAGGTAGTGTAATATGCACACACAGGCCCAAGACGGCAGCCCAGATGAGAGAATGGAGCAATTCCAGCAATGAGAGCTACATGTTGTCCAGCAGGGGACAACAAGTGTCCCGTCTGCCCACGGTCCAAACCCGCTGGCCACTCCACAGTACTGCGGCATGGCACACAGACGCTGCCAGAAAATGAGCTCTTTGTGGCTGATTATTTTGTCTTTCTAAAAGCTGGATGATGAATTAACTACTTTGGAAAGAAGGAGGGGATTTGCCCGACGCACACTTTCAGGATAAAGGACCTTGCTGTATTTACTCCAGGCTTTGCCATTCAAACAAAAAAATTTCAGAGTAGTATTCAGCTCAACACTGTGTGGCTATTCTGAGGATAGATACAATTATTGATGACAGAGGAGAAGATTGTTATGCATAGCCTGTACAGGATGCCATCAGAGACTGTGATTGGGAACCTTTTGAAAATGTCAAAGTGACACATGATTATGAATATTAAACAGCCATGTATGGGCCATGATTACTTGAAACGGGGAGGGGATTTGACAGTCGGAGACTGTGAAATCTCATTGCAGGCTAAAATGATAGATGGCAAAATAGTCGACTGAGAATTTGCCAGTCTCATCTCAGAAAAAAAATATCACTGCTTAACATAAAATGAGAAGCGTTTAATAAATGTTGTCATCTTGGGTGAAAACTGTCTGCCACCAAATGTGCATTGACTTCAGATTTCAGTCTAGACGGCTTTTGGTCTCACAAAGCAAGATAGATGGGTCTTCTGACTCATACAAGTTCAAACCGAAGCATGATGTCACATTATGTGCCGGCATATTGAAAATGCATCAACAAGATAAAAGTTCTGTCTCGTGCGACAGCACATCCTCCCTCATGTTACAACACGCTGGGCTGACAGCTGTTGCACTTTATTAAATATTGGAACGCGTAATTAGACAACTTCAGAATTTATAACGCGCTTAAATCGTAAGCCAATGTTTCCACTTTCCAATATAAAGACCGTGAACCCCACTAAATTATTTCTGGCAATAATTGTAAAGGGGCAGAACAGAATATGGTTCTTTTCACTGACACTCTGTGATTATAGTGGCCCAAGATTGAGATGTTTAATGAGGCAAAAAGATTTTAAAAAATCCCCCAAAAATGTAAAAAAAAACCCCCACAGATGATGAATTGGCTAATTTATCTTGAGTAGTCTTTTCCATTGCAGGAACTTGTAGCCTGTCCCCATTTCCCAGTGTTCTGACCTCAAGGGGAAGCATTCTGAACCTAAATTTAGGCTCTGTGCAGAGCATGGTTCTACTTGTTCCAGAGTCTGCTGGGGAAAGTTTTACTGTATTTGGCTGGCTTTACCAATTTACATGTATTTGATACAGTTAATACCAGAGATTTTATTTTTCAAAATTCAAACTTTGAAAGGAAGTAGTTTAAGTCTTTATGTTTTTTCCATTACTGCAATATTTGTGAGTATGTTTATGAGGGGAAATGTGCAACTTGGAAATCAATGAAAAAATTGTTCTCCGACATGTAATAGATAACGTAAAGTGTCTCATAAAGCACGCCACGTTGTTTTCCTAAACCTAACCAGGAGTTTTGTAAATGTATGAATCAATAAATAAACTTTTAACCTGTTAAATATAAAAATGAATTAGAAAAACTCTCAGGGTTAAGACCATAATGGATAAGAATTGTGTTTAATGCTACTGCTTTATCTTTCAGCCTTCAAACCAAATTTCTAGAATAGTTTACTTTTTTTTAATTCAGCAAAAACCTTTACATGTAATATGCCACCAAAGGAAATACTTCCCTGTGTCTTCACTGAGCAGCTTCAGTGGACAGTATATAGAAACAATAAGCAATCTCAAATTTAATGAAGGTATAAAAGGAGTATGCTCACATCAAGTTGTTTTTTCTGAGCAAAAACAACCATTATCTGCCCGTCTCAGTCTGTTAACATCTCGACAGGGGGAAATCTCAGGGTGTAAAGACCAAGCCCAGAAACCACTGTTGGGTGAACATAACCTTTGGGCCCTCAGACAGCGTGAGCAACTATTGTGCCACTGGCCCCAGCGCAGCCACGTTGGCCTAAGAATATCATGGAAAAGCAATGTCACTGAGCACAGTCTGCAGCTGCATCCAGAATTGAAACCTGAAACTGTGTTACTCAAGAAGGAAGTCACATAAAATGTCTGGTTAGTGCTTATTTCAGTGGGACAGCGGTATAGCCCATTCTCCACCTCTTAGAACAGCAGGGCCTCACAGACGCACCGAGTAAGTGCCTGAGAAAGTGCAAGGATTTGTGCCATTAACTTTCAAATGAAAAAAAAAAGGTCTGATACAGTGGTCAACATGCTTTCTTCACCCTTTTTATGTTACAGGCATCAGATCTATCTTATTTTTCATGCTTACCAATCACAGTTGAGTGGGTTAGTCGGTGATAATCAATTTCTCCAAACGTTACAACATATTAGAGAAGCCATACTTGTTGCACTTTGAAATCTCAATGTTTTTCAATGGCTTTAAGTGGACAACATTTTGAAAGGCCGTATTGAACACGAAACTACCAGAGGTACTCAACACAAAAGCTATAAACGGAACCACGAAGAGTGCCGAGAGCTCTTAGGTCTAATGAGATGTTAGAACTGAAACTCCAACTAAACCACTTTTGTATGTTTGCAACACGGCGCCAGAGCTCTTGCTAAATATCAGTATTTAAAAATGAATGCTTTACTCTAGTGGCTGGATTTTTTCATTTATTGTCAGATGTGCATCAAAGCAAAACAGCAGAAATCTGAATGCTAAAGCATATTTATTGATGAAATGTGATCAGTTATTGGACTGAAGATTAATTGTCTTCTGATTATGAAATAATGACGGACACGATTTTGGTTGTGCTGGTCCCAGAATTTTCCTGAATTAAAAAGAGGGAAAGACAAAACAGATCTTAAAAGTATTCAAAGGAAAATAAAAGTCTAATTAGTTAAAAGCCCTGGTTATGGGATTCCAGGGGTTGTCCCTGCAGTGGAAAAGGATGTCTCTGGATAAGCTGACTTCTATGACAGTGACACATATGAGTGAAATCCACGTACTGTAGAAACATCACTGTTTTTTTTCTCATTACAACACTTGCAATTTGTGCTCTTAAAACATGTCATGTCGTTGTCCAAGTTTTTTAAAGTTCAAACCAATGACAATGTATCAGGATAGGAAATAATGGTCACATTCCACCCTCTTTTCTTTTCCAAAACTGCCTCTACAAGATCAAAACCTCTACCCTTCTGCATTGATACTTGCCAAGATTTCTTGCAAACTCCTGTAATTTTACTCCCTGATCTTTTCATTCACCAGCCTAGCTGAGCTTCGTCACTCTGATGTGCTCAGGTACGTGTGCAAAATGTTCAAGTGGGCATGCAAACACTGACCCACACACACACACACACACACACACTCTCCAATGTGAGGTTCCCACTGTAAATTGCTGCTGTGCTTTTACAGTGACTTTGGCCCCCATCAGAAGGAACTTATTTCGCAAAAAAAGGAAAAAAGAAAGTCTGTCTCTTATTGCTTATGTCAGCAAAAGGTGTGAGTCAAACTAAAACGAGAGGGGGATGTTGGGCAGAAATGAGAATAATAAGAACACCTTGAGTACAGCCACATCACAACTGAAGACATAATCCATTTGCAAAGGTGTGTCTCTTGTCTGGCAAAAAAGCAGAACGTATAAAATGGAAACAATGAGGACAGAAGTCATGTCCGTATAGTCCATTCTTGTAACCTGGATGAATGTGCTAATGTTTGTCAGTCAGAGCTTGAATTCATAATAACTGCTACAATTGTGATTGCTATTATCATATAAAAAACGTCTCTAAAATGTACAAATAACTAAAACTGATATTACATAAGTTGTATATCAACTGATATAAACAACGCTTGTTGAAACAGAAGTTTTAGGAGTCTGATTTTTAAATTGAATTTTATGTACATGTACACTGCTACTCTCTAACATCTTTAACCACAAACCGGACAAAGTGTATCATGTTGAAAGATGCTGCTAGACTTTCAAAAGCCGAGGTCATATGTCTATGTCAGCCTAAATATTTCCTCTTACACTTACACTTTGGATGTGAGTGGCACGAAAAAAGTTTTCATTACTGAAATACTGTTATTTTGTACACAATATAGAACAAATAGATAATCATTTCTCCTAAAATAATTACATAATTTATCACGTGTAATGACTCTTTATGTTACAGCTCCATGAAGTAAAGGGAGTACTTTGAGAAGTGATAGATGGACGAGAGGTATGCCTGAATAAATAAACTCTATCTTTAGCTGCTCGCGCTCGGACAAACTGGATCGAGGTGGCATGCAGACTTCTCATTCCTTTTTGTCATGATCGTGTACCAAAAAACTGGTCCTGTGATCACGGGAGTGTCTGGAATCAAAGTGAAGCACGGATCCTTGTCCAGCGCAAGAAAAAAAAAAGGGGGAAAAAAAAAAAAAGACGAGAAAAAAGCTGTGTCCGATTTGTGCCTACATACAGTACGTACAAGTGGTTTGTTAGCAGCACAAGTTTGGTGTTTGACTTTGGCCAGAGCTTTTCCACTGGTGACAGCAAACGAATGACGGAAAAGCAGAGAGTCCGCCGGTCGTCTTTAGACGAGACGGCTTTCATCTGAGGTGGTCACCAGGAGTGGACACTGGATGCTTTAGCAGGCGAAGTCCTCAAACACCCCGTGGTGTCCGGGGCGATGGTGGTGAGGGTGAGGATGAGGGTGTGGATGAGGAAGAGGGTGATGGTGGTTGGGGAGAATGGTGTTGGCGTACGCCCCCTCCGGGTGACTCCTCGTCGTGTCGTTGGGCTCCTGTGGAGAGCAGAAAAAACCGAGGGTCAGGGTCAAGGCCAACAGCATGCTGGGGAGCACCTGTAAAAATGAGCAGCAAAAGATTTTAATGAGGTCATTGAAATCTTAGTCAGGAGACACACATGTAGCCGTACCTTCAGGGCATTTTTTACGGTTGTTTGATGTGCGGAACTAAGGAAATGGAACTGAACAGCCTTGTTTCTGTTCTCTGAGCTTTTTTTCTGACAAAAATGCAGAGAAATTTTATGTCTGTAAGTATGCAAGTGTTATTTTGATCATTTACAGGAACAGAGGACAGTTTAGGTAAAATTTCTGACATCTTTGTGGACATTTTCTGTAAGACATGCTTGTAAAAAACCCTTTTTTGTTTGGGGCAAACTCATGATAGAGCGTTAACCAGCAGGCCCATTCAAAGCTGCTCCTCTTCTCTGATTAGGTCTTGTTTTTAGATGTCAAACCAGGACAGACATATGTGCTACCCGATGCATTTCCTGATTTTTCGTTATACAGTATTTACATGTAAAATGATCACTCCGAGAAAAAAGTCAGAAATGATGATGCTTCAGTTTTCTTGCATGCAGTGCAGAGCCTCCATCTTGGCAACAGTGCTTGCATATGCACATCTCATTCACGTTTTTGTCTGCCGCTGTCAGTCACAGTACAAAGAGCAGCCTCTGTAGCCACTTTAAGAGATGCGCACCTTTCCATTAATGTAATGGTAGCCGAAAAACAGCAGCGTCATGATTAAAGAATACACGTGTTTCTCCGGAAAGGTTTAGTTACAACATCAGGCTTGGTGAAAATTGTGTATTCCACATGACACAGGCTCAAACAGTTCAGAATTTAATTAATTTCAGAAAATTAAAAAATTGCTTTTACAGTTTAAATAAAATTACGAATTACTCGTCTGAAGAGCTGAATGACTGTTGCTTTACCTCGCTAATTATGACGTCTGTGGTGCATTTTCCCTGTTTGGAAATAGCTAAAGAGAGAAGTGCATGCGGCACACAATAACTCACACTTAGCGGTGGCATTTCTTCAAAGCTTTGCTGCATCTAGCAGCAAAGTTGCCAGGATCACAGCAAAGATCTTGGCGCACAGTCACCCTTTCCGCAGTGGAACATTTTGTGTCCAAGTGGAGACTCGGTACAAAAAAGGTTTTTTATAAATCTCATGAATCCCTGGCCGCCTCCTGAGTACACCATGCAATTCAATGACTGAAGCAGCTTCCTGTGACACTGTTTGGGGTGCTGCCCCCCAGGAAGACCACCTCCAACTACAAAAACCTCCATTTGGGGTCTAAAAACCATCAAGTCAAATCTCTCACCATCTGTCATGGCACAATATAAACTCTCTAGATTACAACACAGTTTATGTACAAGACCAGAAGTCTGTTGTTCAGAAACTATTTTGCGCAATGGTAAATATGAGCTCCAGGGGAGTGGTTAAGGTTCATTAAAAGCATTGCAGTCATTATTTTAGTGGTGGGAAAAATATAAATTCTCTTCTCTCTTACTTATCTTCTTGTTTTCTAATACATCTACAATGCTGTAGGCTAAGTCATACTGTCAGCATGACACCAGTGATAGTGTAATTGGTTGCAATGCAGTCTCTCAGATACCTTCGCCTTCATTTCCTCCAGGCTCACTGTCGCCACCGTGCTGGTCGGCTGCTTGCTCTTCTTCTCTTCTTTCTGCGGCCTCAGCAAACGCTGTAGCCGGTGCTTGATCACCTGGTTCAGCCCAGACCCCGGCAGCAGGGCGGGTCACGGACCAGAGACAGGAAGAGAGGAGTTCATCTCACGTAATATGCGAGCTACATCCCTCCCCTCTGATTTGACTTGGCTTCTCCTCGTTTGGCAGTCGGCAGGCGGCTGGCCCGAGAGGCTCAGAGGGGATGGGGATGAAGTGGGAGCTCGTTTTGCGATCAGCTCCATGATCAGCATGTCATGAGCGTAAAAACCTTAGCGGATTTAACGTCGTCCTGACTAGGAATCAGCTACAACTCCACACATGCATATTAAGCTACAACGTTTGCGTCGCCCGCCACAACCTTCCATTTTGACCTCATGATCTGCTGGAAAAAAAACGCGGCATGGCCACACTAAACAGGCCGAAACCAAAAAGCAGGGCCATTTTATGCAAAGAAAAATTAGCAAGCCGCGACACACATATTTTGTAAACATTAACAGTTGATTACAATGTTGTTTTCACTTATATCCAGCAGGACAATAACTGTTAATTATCTCTAATTATACCACAGCTTCTGCAAATGTGATTTCATGCAGTGATTATTCGATGTGAGAGTGTCTGCATGGACCCCGCACCTCGTAGATGTAATCCAGTATTTCTAAGACTGTCAGGATGCTGGCCCCGATGAATAAGCCCATCTGTCCACCAATGTCACCTAAAGGGGAGGTAATTGCACACGTAAGAGCACTGTGAGCACCGTGCCAAAACTCTCTGTATTTGCCTCTGTGGATAAAAGTATGACTCGAGCAAGACAACAATTCACAAGACAGCAGAAAACAGACAGAAATCTTACCTAATAAACCAGCAACATCGTACGCTTTCTTTTGCTCAATCGTTTCATAATTCAGAGCTTCAAAAAAGATATCCAACACCAAGAAGTTGTCTCTGGAAAAAGCAAAAACAACACAAAAAGTGGAGGGTAAAAAGACTATTTTTTAAAAGCGGAGAAGTGTCAGTGCTATTTTCATAATTCACAACCAATAAAACATTTTTTTTTTTTGCACAAATCAAGTCATCTTCATGCACAGTGTTAGCTCATCATGATCTTTTGCCAGGCCTGCAGTGCTTTGAATAGAGCCAACCAGCTATTGTGAGATAATGAGGTCTTTCAGGGTTTAACTGAGATGAGAAGAATGTTCACCGACAGCATGCTTATCGACTGCTACTCCTCCGGTTTCCCTGGGTTTAAAAAGTCTGGTAATATTAAACGTTGTGAGCCATCATGCGCTTTTTGGTTTAGGCATGTTTACCCTCTGTCGTGTCCCTGATGATTAAACATTGAAAGGAATTACAGACTGTCACTGCCCGGAATTCATTGAGAATATCAGTGTTTCATGAAACATATTCTGGAACTGCATTAGAAATGAAAGCCAAGTTCATTACACCAGTAGAAATGAGTTTATTCAGGCTTATTCAAGCGCTTTCGGATCATTTATATGCGTTTCTAGTTCTGGTTCCAATGCAGTTGTCATCAAGATGTTATTTTGCACCCTTAGGACAATTTGACAGACGATCAGTAAATTATCTTGATTTTAAATAACAGCACTTGACTTAGGACTATGTCATAAACATTTGCTTTTGTCAGATTGAATGGAAAAGATGTGCATCTAAATTGCCAACAATCAGCATCCTATTAACAGAATAAACATGAATTGAGATTTCAGAGAAATTATAATTGAGTTTTGCTCTTATTTACACCTGTTGTATTTATAACAGATTGAACATAGCAACTTCCTGCCGTACCTGATGTACTCTTCTGACTTGTCGTATTTCCTGGAAAGGTAGCGAGCTGAGCCCTTGCTGGGGATTTTGACCATGGAGAGCTCTTTTCCGTAGCGGGTGAGATTACAAGGCGTCTCGCATGGACAGGTGTCCCCACTGTTCTTCTGGAGCTGTGCTGCAAACACAGTGGCAACAGGGGGCTCGACAGATTTAGACCCGATCACTTTCGGCGCCGTGCCAGTTACCAGAGGCAAACATGACATAACGCACCAGTCAGGTGTCTGTCAGCGTCATTATCGCAGCATTTTTCATACAGACACAATTCATTCACTGCGAGAATGCAAATGTCAGACGGTGCAGCTGTGATGTTCTTCAGTCTCAAAGATGATTTGTATGTCATTTGATTTTATGCATTTGTTAACACACGCAGACAAGTTCATTTCACCACTGCAAAATGATGCACAGGTTATAAACGTGCTATGAAGACAGTTTTTTTAGTAGCATGCGATGTTATGGAATGTGAATGCTCCAGACAGTTTGGAAATGTTTCATCCAGGAGACCACTTTTGAATTAAAGCTCCAGTGTGTATGATGGAGAAACATCTAGATCTAGAAATTGTGACTGACAACCAACAACTCACTTCTAACTTCCTTATACCAATTTTGACGAAAAAAAACCCACGTTGACCTTAAAAAGCAGTAACGGTCTACTCTACCCTTGATCACATCCCAAAGAGGTAAGGATAGAGATGTGAAAGATCAATTCAGTTAGGATGGAAACCGCTCTAACTTTTAGAATGTTTAAAACACTTTTTGTGATCTTTCCATATGTTTAATAACATAGGGATGAAAATGTCATGACCATGAGTAGTTATTTTCATGTCAAATGGCATCAAGAAACTGAGAAAGTGGACACAAATTGATTGTTTAGAAACTGGACGGCCCAACATTCCATGCATACCACACAGATACAACCAACCAATGGTTTACAGCACATTCTAACTTTGTGATGCCATATTATCTTAGAATTATCTGTAGGAATGATGTTTACCGTGATCTTGTGATAATATTTATTCAGAAAATAAATGATGAAGCGTGCTTGGTGCTCTTGAGGACTTTTCAAACGGTACCTTTCACCCAATTAGCATAAGTCACTTGAATATTAACAAATGCATATTTATGAACCTAACTCTAAAACAACAAGCTGCTCACAGGAGAGTAAATTGCTGTTCTCTGTTTCTTTTTTTGAAATTCTAAATACTTTCACTCCAGACAATAACAAGTGGAAAGAGCCCTGAAAGCAGTAATTATGATTTGATGATTTATATATTTTAGAAACCTAACAGTAATGCTATTGCTATGTGGGCGTATATTCTGTCTGATGTGGGAGCAAAACACCTCTATTGAAAATATAACTCAATAATTTTACCTTTGATGGTGATGGTGGTGGTTGTGGAGGGGGTGTAAGAGTGGGGGAATCTATTCACATATTTTGATTATGAAATATGACCCGCATGAGTACGGCCCATTCTTGTAAGATATATCTACAGTCCCATTCTGTCTTAAACAGGGTTGGAATTCAGTCACAAAAGATATGATTAAATTTCCCGCTTATTTGGATGAGAAACGATAATTGAGGAAACGCAATAGTAATGGCCCCTTTTTTAAAAATGGGAAATTTTCTCTGCTTACTGAAAGGGTTAGGTCAGGGCCAGTAATGAGAAGGGGGGGGGGGGGGGGGGGGGAATGAAACACAGGTTTAACATTGACATTTTCACAATGGTAGCATGACGGCCATCAAACTCTAAAGGGACTAAATCACAATATAGAAAAGCTATTTCTGTGTATCCAGTCTACCTCCAGGTGTTTGTACAACAAGAAAAAAAATCCTTATCATATTTACTGATTGTGTTTCCATTCCCCTTTGGGGTAGTCTTTTGTAATGAGAAAAGAAATGAAGGGAGATTGTTTCTTACCGAGTGCTTTGTCAACACAGTTGATTTTACTGGGAGGGCAGATGTCTGCAGTTCCTGGAAAGGGAGAGCAGAATATGAGTCTGATCAATCAGAAACAAAATGATCAGTGACCTGTGTCTGCTGCAATGAGGAAGCGTGGCTGTGAACAACGCTCTGCGGCTTATCATTCATCTCCAAATGAAGGCAGGTGCGCGGAGGATGACTTCCATCCACATAACCTGAAAACATCTCGGTCGTCTGGCCCTGATTGCACGGAGAAATGGAGCATGCTGGCTCCACCCGTGAGGCACATTTAGAAAGTCTTTAAAAACCAATCAATGGGGGCACTTCCCTCTTAGAAAAACATACTGCCCAGGCCATTAATGACAGGTATTCATCAGTGTGTACAATTAATTAAACAGAGGTCTGTTCATCAGACTGTGAAATCTTCATGGGGTTAATGTTTTGTGGAAGTCCACTTTCCATTTACAATGAAATACTCATTTGTCACCCGGAGAGGCATCTCTTTCAACTCACCTGAAAAGATTTTTGGATAATAACTTCAGATTTCACAAGAAGTAGCAGCGATTTGAAAAAGCTTTCATTTAGTTTTAATCATCGTTCAAAGCCATTCTTTAAATTGCCTGGCATCTTTTACTTTTAGGTGGTCTGAGTGTTGGGGAAAAGAGCCGGTCTGTGTTTGCTGTCCACACGTCAAGAACAAGAACAACTTAATGGCTTTTTTGGGTCCTTACCCAAATATAGGAATGGACTGAAATTCTTAAATATTAATACTGGACCAGACAAATGCAAAAAAACACAATTTACCTTCTAACCACTCACACTGAGAGTTAAGGCATTTGTTAACGGCCACATGGTGGCACACACTCACTTAACACTGTGGAGGAGAAGAGATGCTAGATATTAACCGCTGCGTTAAAGCATTTAAAAGAAGAATTTATTCTCTCAAAGCTAGTCCAATTTAGTCAGTTTATTATGGGGATAAATGCGGGTTTCTGCCTCCATTCAAATGCGTCATTCTTATGCATTCAGCTTGGGTGTGTCAAATGCATGCACTGTAAGTTTTCCTTCCTAAATTCTGAAACCTCTCATCCTCAACGCCCCTGTTAGCCACATAAGTCAAACAGCAAGCATCCAGTGACTCAGCTCTTTGACTCTCTGCACTCCAGCTGAGATGACGCACACACTTAGTGAGTCCAAACATCTCTCTTTAAGTTTGACACATTGAGCGAGAGGACAGCTTAAATGATGCTACAAAAGTAATCAGTGTTCCTCACAGAAAGATGATCATCTTGAGAGACATTAATTTCCACCAGAGCTCAACAGGCATCAGATTTATTGCCATGAAATCTTATATAAACATGCATGCTTTCCAGAGGACATATGCCACTGATTTTAATGACCCTTTAATTTTTACCCTGTGAATAGACCGAAATGAACTAGATGCAGACACAGCCATCAGGATGAATGATTATAGCTTTGATGACGCCTTTACAAAGTTGTGTCATCATCAGTTCCTAAATGGTTTATGACCACATCAGGGAAAGCCAATGACAGTCCCATAATCCACTGCTGGCTTTGAAATGCTAACATGCTAAACCAAAATGGTTACAGATTAAAGCTGTTAAACATCAATCTTTTCAAGAATTTATTGGATTTATTCATGTATTGGACATATCTGTGCCTCATGGAACCACAAATATGTCTTCAGAAACGTATTACATTTTTTTAAAGCTATATATATATAATATTTTATACTTTTTAGAAGTGCAATGAATAGAAGAGCAATGCCAACCTTCTGTCCTGTGCCTAGTGAAAGTCTGGGCTAAGTCTAAATTAGATATGCGTTCTAGGCAATATGACATTATGTAAGTAAAAACCCAAATAATGTAATACAGCAATAGTCCTTGGAGCAGATTTATAGGCCATCTGCCAAATGCAAGAAAATCCAAGACCGGTCATAGTAATCAGTCTTTAGAAAACAAGGACAGCTACAGGGAGACAACAGAGCAATTCCAAAAACAGATTTATATGGATGAGCTACTGAATCCAAACTCAATGAGACTTGGATCTTGCAGGTCAGTGGCCAGAGAGCAGGCTGCACAGCTGAAGAGAGTCTCAGTCCAGACATAAAGCATTATATCCAGGAGCGTGACAGCCCAATAGTATGTAAAAGCATGATTGAGGTGTGTCAAACAAATACTTGTCTGGCAGATGTGTCATGATAATTCAGATACATTTAATTTCTGAAAAATCAGGCAGTTTCTGTATATTTCTGCCCGCTCTGCTATTAAAAAAATGAATGTTTATGATATTTCATGATCTTTAGGTAATAGATAAAGAATATGTTCCTTATATCTTTTAGTCATTACAGTGGACAGAGATGCTTCTTTTTTTTTTTTTTATAACCGTAAGATAAAACATAAAAACAAGACAACAAATGACACATATTTGGACAATTTTTCATCCGGGCACAGTAGCTCTCTCCCCGTGCCGGTGCTGTTGTCTGATAAAAGGGAAGGTGAAGCAGGGATCTTACCGGGCATGTGCACCATTCTGCACTTGCACACTCTCAGCACCTCGTTGGTCTCGCAGAGCAGGCGGCAGGCGCTGATGCTGTAGGTGTCGTATCCGGGGAACTTCTCCTTGCTGGTGGAGCGGCAGTTCCCCCAGGGCTGCGGCAGGTAGGTCAGCTAGGCACACAGAGATTTATTAGCAGCCAGTTCGCCCCCAACTAGGAGGAGCCGTCGTACACAGCAACAGTCAAACGGTGGTGGTGGTCCGGGGGGTGGCCGGGGACTTGTGCTGTGATGAAGAAGACCTACCCTCTGCTCTTGACATGAAACAAAGGTCTGGAAACCCGGGGAGACGCCGAAGCCCAGCTGGTGAATATAAGGAGGCTCATCCTGACTGTGGATCTGAACTCGAATACCGGCCTCCAGGGACGTCTCATCTTCATGTCAGGATGAAACAGAGCACAAGCACAGAACAGTGCAGGAGGAGAGCACAAGGGGATTTCAGATGAGTGCATTATCTGACAGCCTGGACTTGGTTTAATGCTAACTGGAAACCGTATTTTGTTCTCGTCTGAAAAATGAGCTGGAGGAGAATCATTTTATGTGGCAAGACCGTCGTATTTTATTATGGACTTCTCTTATTTTTTTAAATTTCACATGTCAGGAGTAGCGAGGCAATCAGAAAACACTATTTACGTTTGTCAAAAAGATAACACACCTTTCAGTTTGAAGGTTTTATGTGTTGAGACGTGACAAAAAAAATCATACTGTCCTTTTGTGGTCTCGCAATTAGATAAATAAAACCTCAGATGAACAACAGCAGATGGTATTTTACTCTGTCATTATTGTTTTGACAAAAACTAACCCAAATGCGTCTTGTTACTGCTTCCATATAGGACTTAAGACAGATAGAAAGGTCAGGTGTTGCCAAAAAGAAAACAAAGAGCATCATCTCAGACTGCAGGCCTCAGTTAACTTGTTAAATGTCAAACTTCATGGCAGTACCGTTCTAAAAAGGCTGGACACGGTTTATTTGGAGGACCTCTGTATTTGGCTTTGATCTATTAAACACAATGTACCGACCCACGTACTGTTGTTTACCTGAGGTTCTTTTTTAGAATGTTTTAAGTTTTGTCATACAAAAAAACTGTAAATATCTATTTTGAAGTGAATCTAGGCAGGTTTGGATGTAGACTGCAACACAGGCATTGGAGTGGATGACAATAAAGAAAATGGCTCTGAAGCTTACTTGTCTCTCTCCAGATGGGCAGATACTCATCCTGCTGGATATCCAACATAATCTCCAAACCATTTCCCATTCCGCCCTGCTTGGTTTTCCTGGATGTCGTCTTGTTGCCGTTAAAAGTGTAGCATTTCCCATATCTGGTGTAAACCTGGAGGGAGACAGATCCATATCATGAGCGTCACCGTAAACATGACGAAGTCCACACGCCGGCTGTGACAAGCTGCGCATTGAAATGAGCGCTGCGGTGGTATGGAGCAAAAAAATAAACAAACAAGCTGAGCCTCTGCCCGGATGAGCCGCTGAGTATTACCCATACGTCTCTGGATGCAAGTCTGCTGTCCCTCCTGGACCAAGATAAGCTCCATTTGAATCTGTTTCTAACACACAACGCTGCTTAATCGTATCACCAATGCACCTTGGTATCAAAAGCCTTGAGAGATTCTTTAACCTTTCTTCAAAAAGAAAATGAAAGACATTGAGCGAGTGTCTGGTTTAAAAATCTATTGAATCTCCACATATCAGGGGAGTTGAGTCTGTGGGACTACATCATCTCTTTGTTTATCCCTCTCAGCTACACTGCTGCATGCACAAAAAAATATGCAGATTGCATCTCATTTAACTGTTATCTCCTCTAAGTTGTGAAAAAAAAAATCAATTTGTTTACAAAATGGTGCTGTGGCACCACCACTGAGACACAAAGTACAGGATGGCGTCCAGACACAAAACAACCAAATGGACGCTGCGTATTTTCCCATCGTGACTAAACTTGGTCAGTCATGCAGTCGTTTGTTATGGAAGCCGGTTTTCGGTTGAACATTTGCACAATTCCTGCGCTGAACTGTGAAGTTATTGTTGGAGCTTCACAAGCATTTAATAGATGTGGCAGGCATCCAGGTTTGATTTCCCAACACCCTAAAGTTGTGCGTCATACTCTGACAACAGCAGTGGTGACCTTTAAGGGAAGTTAAGCACAATTCTTTTTTTATGGCTAATAAAACATAAGAAAACTGAGAGATGTGGATGAAATTTGTTCAATTAATTTGTGTATTTATAGCTGGAGAGCAAACTTGCATTTCAGCAACTGAAACAATGTCGAGAACCACATCGTCTTTAGGGGCTTCAGCTTTTTCTTTAACAGTGGTTTTCATTCCTGATCTAACTCATTCTCTCATCCCATCCTTCATCCTTTGAAGCATGTGTGGCTGAGTCAACACTGGTGGGGCACAGAAAGTGGTCATCAGCAAGACGGCACTTGCATAGAGACAAGTCACTGCAAGGATGAAACAAAACATAAGCAGCATCTGCGCAGATGTCACTGTAGCATCAGTCAGGAGGATTTCGTAACTGTCAGAACATTTTTAACCTTTTTCATGCTGTGGATTGACAGTGCTGTTCGTCATGGTACAGAGCTGTACACAACAGGAAATCTTGATGTGGGTATTTATTACCCAATATTCCTGTGTATTTTTTTTTAGCTACACTGGAAACCTGAAATAATTGTATTTCTCACAATCCTTCTATAGACACTGCTTATGAGGATGCTGACTTTTTCTCCTGGAAATGTGTAAAAGATTTCTTGATTTGAAAGAAAGTTATTCGAAAATAAACATAAAGAGAAGTTTTTTGATAAACCAATGCAGCACTAATGTTTCACTTGTAAGCTACAACTGATAAAAACATGGTGATACCAAACCATCCTGAGAGAACTTTTCTCTTTTATTATAAAAATATATTATGCTTTTTAAATCTTTTTTTTTTAACATTGCATGGTAAAGTAAGTCTAGGTGATTAGATACCAGAAAAAAAATGACAGTGACTGAACAAATGAAGCAAATACAGAGTCGACAGATCATAAAAGGGACACTGGTGGTATCAGGCATACACAGAAAGATAGATCCCTGTGCTCTGACTTTGATTTAGGTTTGATCCACCTAATAAGCACTATGATGTCTAAATAAGGGACACGGGCAAAACAACACAAGCTCTCATTTAGAGACCACAGGGTGTATCCACATCTGAGATGGCTGAACAACAAATCAAAGTCACTGTTATGGGGCTCAGTCAAGTAATGTGGAGCAGTGGAAGAACAGTGATTAGAGTGAGAAATGAATGCAGTTTAAAAGCTGCTGTTCACAAATACAGTTTTATTATATGCGATAAAAGACCTCCAGGCCTTTGATCTTGGTGCTTCAGCATGCCCCGTGTGTGTTTTTGTGTCTTCAAATCAATCACAACAGGCAACTCGAAAAATCTTGGTCGTCCTGGTTGAGTATTTGGACAAGTTGCTGACCGTTACAGATTTCAGCTCAGGCCTTTAATGTGGAACACTTGGGTTTAGGTTTGTACCGACAGCCACATTGCAGTTTTGTAAATTGCAGCATCCTTTTAGGGGCAGTGATTATAAAAAAGTAGAGCCGAGGAAGAGAGAGTTCAAATTCTACAGTGAGACTTTTGACTGACATGTGCTATTAGGTTGAAATGATTTAATCTCTATTTGGCTGGCTCTGAAGAGGTAAGCTGCACTTATCATTGATTCCCCGCCTCCACACGGGTTCATTGACACACTTAAGCCTCAACTGGCAGTCTTTATCTGATAGAGCAAGTAACCGAGGCAAAGGCGGATTTCACTACAGAAAAGCTCAAAACACCCTAACCGAGTGCCTGGGTTCCGCTCTAAAACTTCCTGGCTCTGAAGGACGCCAGTGTGCTCAGAAAATGATATCCCCAGAGAGTGTGGGGGAAATTTTCCCATCATCTCACCCCGGAAAATGATTGTTGGCAGAGCTTCCACTGTTTTTTTTCCCGGTGATTGTACCCTCCTCGTTCTCCCCTCCCCGCATCAACAATGTGATTGATGGAGTGTTTTTCTCCTGTTACGTCTTGCATCAAATTTGCCAAAGGTAACATGAGTGACTTCAGCAAATCCCATGGGGGAGCTTGGCACGGAAAAGTTGAAGCAGAGCAGCTGCGTTGTTAAAAAAAAAGATCTTTTGTATTTTTTTTATTAAGTCAAGAGCTAACTATTGTATCACTGAATGGTGCTATGTTCACTTTGTTGACTCCCGGGGGCCTGACACAACATAATTCAAATGCCAATCTTTCACATGATAATGAAACGTGGATCTCACTTGCTTGTTCTCAGTATCATTTGCTCCGCCCCGTTTAGTTCTGTAATGTGAACTCTGCGCTTATCTGTTTTTAAAAAGATTCTAAGTATAAGGTAAAAAAAGACAAATTTTCATAGCCATAATCAAACATCCCTCTCTCTGCTTAGAAGAAAGAAAGTGAAATTGTTAAGCAATCAACATATAAATATATATGGATGTGTGGATGGCGTGTGAATAGATACAAACATCTGGCTAAAATGGATCTGACTTGACTATAAAAGCATAACTGCATCAAAATAAGCTTTTCTCTGAAGTGGCAACATACTTTTAGAAGGATGCCTGAATTCATGACAAATACCGTATCTTATATTTTTACCAATCATAATTCAGCTGTCTTAGATATCAATTCATCATGTGCTTGAGTTTTTGTCCTAAAGTGCCTGTTTCATTCTCTGTCTTTCCATGCTAAAAGCATTAAGACACCAAGTCCTTACCATGTAATTCATAAGCCCTGGTGAGCTAAACCTTTAAACACCCTCTGTATGGCTGTGATCTGGCAGCCCTAACTTTTCCTTTTAAAAAACCTGCAGGGATCACTTCAGTGCCTCACCAGAGGACATCAATTTCCAGGCAGACTGCATGTCATGGGGTGCCTCTGTGGGTATAAGAAGGGAGGATTTGAATTCATTTACACAGGGTGGTAGAGAGTCTGAGGGCACTGATTGGCAGATGAAAACCATTAAGGCTGGCTCATGAAGGTTTAAGGTTGACACAGAGTGTTCCTTGATTTAATGGCTTCATTACAACTCCCCAGTAGTGAGACCTGAATCCGCATGTGACATAAACTGAATATTTACATGACATTTTTGAGTGTTTTTCCATAACCAATGTGCAACAGGACTGCCAGTCAAAGAAATGCTCGGCAAAAATGTTATAAAAAAGCTAGACCACAGTAGAGAAGGAAATTATCTAAACGTTATCCAAAGCAATATTTCTACAGTGCTGTTTACGCTTCTGTTTTAAAGCGTTTATCAGTTCCATAAGTGTCACATTGTACCCTGTCATATTTTAAGTTTTATTTCATGTTGGTGTTTTATTGACTCGTGCAGTAGAGCAGTTCATAGTATTAAAGGTTGTTTCCTGTATGATAAAATTGAGAAATTTATAATATTATACAGCAGACTGTACCACATTTGTTCATAAAACACAACAGCATAGCAGACCATGGTAAAAATATATTGACAACAATGACAACAAAATGACTAGTTAAAACACTGTCATCATTTTTTTTTGCATTTTCAGAATGTGGAAGCATTATGTGTGATTTTATCGCCGTCACAGAGACGTTCACGTTTTCTGATGGTCAAACAGCAAAGCCACAAGCAGGCATGAAGCAATTTCTGGACTAGGGGACCACTCAGTTCTCTCCAAGCTACTGCTGTGACCAGGATTTGGAAGCGGTCTATAAATGTCACATCTTGTTTACTCTTAATCCAGAGGAATGTGAAGTATGTGTTTTTAAAAAGAAAAAGGAAAGCAACTATTTATTTTGTTTTTTTCCCCACCCTTTTCACTTGCGTCAAAAACTGTCTTATACAAAAATATCCCCCCCCAGCTCCAGCAACAGTTTGCCTCACTGCCACTTTGAACAGTTTGCAATATCTTGCAGGAGGCTGGTAAAATAGAGTGGTCAAGGATCGTCACACATCTGAAAATTTGATGTGATTTACTCAGCTAAATGAAATAGTGGAAGAGAAAAAAGCATGCAACTTGCTACTTTGTTATCAGCTGGCTTCTACTTGTAAAAAATAAATAAAATTCTTCTATCTTTACGTTTGTTATTAGACATAATAGGGACGATTTAGAGCGATTATCCAAAAAATCCCATCACACAATTATTTCACTACTCAGACAACCTTTAGGAGTATTCAGAAGCCAAGGTAAACAGCAAGGTTGTTGGGATTTTGAACATAACTCGCTCAAGGGTAGGACAGAAAAGTGATAGCAGTTGAACTTAGAGAGCATGTTTATAAACTGCCAC